CCCCATGGCCTCTGATCCCATCCTGCCCCTCCGCAGCACCAAAGCACGCCGTGGCCTCTTGCATCCCTATGGATGAAGCCATAAGGTCCGGGAGCGGGATGGGGATCTCCAGCAGGAAGAGAAGGAGCCCTGGAAGGTGGCCCGGGAGGGGAGACTCCTGCTTCCTGGATGTTGTTTGGAGAACAAACTCTGGGAATAACAGCAGGATCCAGACACATCCCGAATCCCACAGCCAAGGCGCTTCCTTGCCAAGGGAGCCGGCGGCGAAGCTCCCTACCTGCCTGGGGGCTGCTGCCACCGCGCCTGGCAGGGATGCAGATGGGATACGGGATGCAGCGGGGATACGGGATGGGACCCATGGGATGCTCTGGCTCTGGGATGGGCTGTCCCGGTGTTCCCGGCTCATCCCGGCGCAGCTGGCCCGGAGCCAGTGGGGTTGTACCGGAGCGTGTGATGTGGTTCCTGGCGGCTCCGGTATTCCCAGAGGTCCCTTCTAATGAGGTTCAGGCTAATTGGAGCTGCCACCGGCCCCATTAGCGGGAGCAGCCGGTGCAGGGCCCGGCTCTTCCATCCCCAGTTCAAAGGCAATGGATGGCCTGGGGCTGCGGGACCCTGCACGATCCCATGGGAATGGGATCAATGTCCCTGACCCAGATCAAACGGAGCCCACTCAATTAGCAGTGATGCTGAGGCCCGGATCAATGGGATGGGGAGGGAAAGGTGGGATCCGGCTTTGCGCAGGGCTTTGGGAATACTGGGGCTCCATCCGTGCGCTGGCAGGGATGGGCAGCGGTGCTGGTGCTGGTTTCCTGCCTGCTGTCAGCACCAGGAAGGGCTGGAAGGGGAGGGAAGGCCCCGAGCTTCCTCCTTCCCTCCCTCCGGATCCGGGAGCGGGAGAGGGGGCTGTGTCCGTGCCCCCATTCCCGGCATTGAGTGGGGTATAACTGTGGGGCCGCCCTGTCCCTTCGTGCCCCTTCCCTGCTCCCAGGGGTGCTTTGGGATAGGGATGGTGCTTGGGATGTGTGGCCGTGGGGGCTGCCCATGGTTCTGCACCCACAGCATGGGCCCATGCAGGTCTTGGGCTCTGTGGGACCCCTTGCACCCATATGTGGGGCTGCACAGGGCTCCTGCATCCATAGCATGGTGCTCAGTGGGTCCCTCATAGGTGGGTGCTGGGGATGCCAGGGAGGAGCGAGTGGTGGGTGGTTGTTTCCTGCCCTCCATGCATCCCACCCCCCATTGATCCCGCCCCTCCATGGATCCCACCCCCCATCGATCCCTCCATCCATCCCCACCCCTCTATTGATCCCACCCCTCCACTGATCACACCCCCCATTGATCCCACCCCTCCATCCATCCCACCCCTCTATTGATCCCACTGCTCCATTGATCCCACCCCTCCATCCATCCCACCCCTCTATTGATCCCACCGCTCCATTGATCCCACCCCTCCATCCATCCCACCCCTCCATTCATCCCACCCCTCTATTGATCCCACGGCTCCATTGATCCCACCCCTCCATCCATCCCAACCCTCTATTGATCCCACTGCTCCATTGATCCCACCCCTCCATCCATCCCACTCCCACCGGGCATCATTACCAGCTGCTCCTTGTTTCCCAGGGCTTTCCAGCGTTGCTTGGGATCAGAACCTGGTGCCTGCATCCACTTGGGATCAGGACCCGGCACCTGCATCTCCAGCCCTGATGCTGAGCCCAGGCCCTTTGTATCCCTCCCCCTATATTTGATTCCAGCAGCATTCCCAGCACAGGATCTGGCTCCCACCCTGTGCCCTGGGGATCCTGGTGCCAGCAAAGCCTCGTGCTGAGCATCCCACCCATGGCAATGGCAATGAGAGGTCCCCTGGGAAGGGCTCTCGGGATGTTCCTGGTGTTCCCAGGTGTTTATGGGCCTGGCAGAGGATCAGCTCCTGTTGTCTCCTGGGATGCAGTTGGGATCAAGGGAATAATCCCACCCCACCCCACCGCCCCAGGCCTCTCCAGCTCCCTCGGTGTCATCCTGACTCTGGGCTGAATCCTGCTGCATGCCATGGGAATTGCTTGGCCAGGCCCTGCTGGGCCCTGTGGCTCTCGATGGGGTGGGATGTAAGGATGCAGGGATGCATCCTTATACATAGGGATATATGGGATGCTTACATATATATAAGGATACAGGGATGTAGGAATGTGGGGATGCAGGGACACAAGGATGCAGAGATGTGGGGACGCAGGGATGCAGGGTTGCATGGATGTGGGGATGCAGGGATGCAGGGTTGCATGGATGTGGGGATGCAGGGTTGCATGGATGTGGGGATGCAGGGTTGCATGGATGTGGGGATGCAGGGACACAGGGCTGCAGAGATGTGGGGACGCAGGGATGCAGGGTTGCATGGATGTGGGGATGCAGGGTTGCATGGATGTGGGGATGCAGGGACACAGGGCTGCAGAGATATGGGGACACAGGGTTGCATGGATGTGGGGATGCAGGGTTGCATGGATGTGGGGATGCAGGGTTGCATGGATGTGGGGATGCAGGGACACAGGGCTGCAGAGCTGTGGGGACGCAGGGATGCAGGGATACAGGATGTGAGGACACAGATGCAGGGATGCGGGGTCACAGTGCCGGGGTCACGCTGGTACATGGGCATGGCTGAGGGTCACCCCATCCCCATCACTGTGGTCACCCCCGGCTTGGGTACCACACATTGGGCCTGGCCCAAACGTCACCGCTCCCTTTTCCTTCCCTGCTTGTGCCTGGGCAACCCAGCGGCTCCTGGCCGGGTGCAGGCAGATCCTGGAGGAATTCCGGGTATTCCAGGCAGAGCCCGGCCTTGGGAATGGCTGTTCCCAGCCAGCCCCCTGGTTACTAATCTTCCCGGATGGCTTTAATGGAATTTAAAGGCAGGGAGGGATTATCCGAGGAGAACCCATTAATGGTGGCTTCATGCCAGGGCAGCTCGGACCAGCTTCCGAAATCAGGCACACCGGGAATGCTGGCTTCATCCTGCCTGCTCCAGGCACACCGGGAATGCTGGCTTCATCCTGCCTGCTCCAGCATTCCCAGCACCGCGGTGGGATGTTGGTCCCACATCCTTTCCCTGTGGGGACTTTCCAGAGGGATTCTGGGGGACCCTGTGGTCTTTGGGCATCCATCGGGATGGAGGATGAAGGATGGGGATGAAGGCCCTGGGAACAGCAGCATCCTGGGTGCTGGTGCTGGTGCTGATGCTGGTGTTGGTGTTGGGTGCTGGTGTTGGGTGCTGTGTGCTGGTGTTGGGTGCTGGGTGCTGATGCTGGTGCTGATGCTGGTGTTGGTGTTGGGTGCTGGTGTTGGGTGCTATGTGCTGGGTGCTGGTGTTGGGTGCTGGGTGCTGATGCGGGTGCTGATGCTGGTGTTGGGTGCTATGTGCTGGGTGCTGGTGTTGGGTGCTGGGTGCTGATGCTGGTGCTGGTGCTGGGTGCTGTGCACTGCACTTTGCATGGCAGGGCCTTGGCTCTGCACTTTGCACCTTAAGCTGCTCCTTGCTCTGCTCCTTGCACGGCAGGGCCATTGTGCAGTGCCTTGCACTGCATCACACCACACACTGCACAGCAGGACCCTTGCTCTGCTCCTTGCACTGCATCACACTGCACAGTGCACAGCAGGACCCTTGCACTGCTCCTTGCACTGCATCACACTGCACACTGCACAGCAGGACCCTTGCACTGCTCCTTGCACTGCATCACACTGCACAGCAGGACCCTTGCTCTGCTCCTTGCACTGCATCACACTGCACACTGCACAGCAGGACCCTTGCATTGCTCCTTGCACTGCATCACACTGCACAGCAGGACCCTTGCACTGCTCCTTGCACTGCATCACACTGCACACTGCACAGCAGGACCCTTGCACTGCTCCTTGCCCTGCATCACACTGCACAGCAGGATCCTTGCTCTGCTCCTTGCACTGCATCACGCTGCACAGCAGGACCCTTACACTGCTCCTTGCACTGCATCACACTGCACAGCAGGACCCTTGCTCTGCTCCTTGCACTGCATCACACTGCACACTGCACAGCAGGACCCTTGCACTGCTCCTTGCACTGCATCACACTGCACAGCAGGACCCTTGCACTGCTCCTTGCACTGCATCACACTGCACAGCAGGACCCTTGCACTGCTCCTTGCGCTGCATCACACTGCACAGCAGGATCCTTGCTCTGCTCCTTGCACTGCATCACACTGCACAGCAGGACCCTTGCACTGCTCCTTGCACTGCATCACACTGCACAGCAGGACCCTTGCTCTGCTCCTTGCACTACTCCTTGCCCAGCGCCTTGTGCTGCACTGTGCACATCAGGGTAAACCGAGGCACGGGGCTGGCCCCTGCTGCTGCTGGAGCCGGTTGTGGTGGGGCAAGGTCCCAGCCCACAGCACCCATGGGTGCCCCGTGTCCCACCCGCTGACCCCCTCCTGTTGCTTTGCAGGGTCTTCAAGAAAGCCAGTCCCAACGGGAAGGTGAGTGGGAAGCTGGGAAAACCAGGGTGTGTGTGTGTGTGATTCCCAGGTGATCCCATCCCAGATCCCAGGAACGCAGCCATGGGTCCATCTCCCATCCCAAAGATGCCCTGAGCATCGGGAAGGGAAACTGAGGCACGGCAGGATGGGGGCTGGCACCAGGGCTTGGAGCTGGCGTCCCCTCTCCGTCATTCCCAGTATCCCATGGCATATTCCAAGGGAGCACATGGGCACCATGGGGTGATGGCATGGACTCAGGGGGTGGTGACCAGATGGGGGGGACCCCAGGAGACCCCCTGGAGCTCGTTCATCATGGTCCCAAGATCCGTGTCCCCACATTCCTCCCGCAGCTCACCGTCTACCTGGGCAAGAGGGACTTCGTGGACCACATCGACGTGGTGGACCCCGTGGGTACGTGGGGATGGGGCTCAGTTGGGGTGGGAGGGAAGGTTCTGGGGAGCAGGAACCCCCCAGGAGATGTCCCCCATGTGCCACCGCGTCCCCATAACCCAGCCCTGGCCGCAGCTCTGGGGTGATGCCCCTATAAAGGGGGCACACCTCGAGCCGTGTCCCCACCGGCATGCCCTGACCCTGCGCTGTTCCCTTGCAGATGGGGTGGTGCTGGTGGACCCCGAGTACCTGAAGGAGAGGAAAGGTAACGGGTGCCCAGGGTCCCTCAGGGGTGGCACCGCCGTGGGGCGGGGGATGGCATCTCTGGGTCCTCAGGTGCATTTTGCAGCCCCTGGTCCCCATGGAGGGTGCCAGGTCCTGTAGAGGATGAGGGCTTGTGGTGGGCACCCCAAGGTGCTTGTGGGTGGTCCCTGGGTGCAACCCCGTCTCCATAGGGCATCCTGGGAGCTGCCAGTGCTTCCCAGTGCGGGTGGGATGAGCCACGGTGGCACGACACCATGGTACCACCACGCCATGGTGTCACCTTGCCACGATGCCACCACGCCATGGTGTCACCTTGCCATGGTACCACCACGCCATGGTGTCACCTTGCCACGATGCCACCACGCCATGGGGTCACCTTGCCATGGTACCACCACGCCATGGGGTCACCTTGCCATGATGCCACCACACCATGGGGTCACCTTGCCATGATGCCACCATGCCATGGGGTCACCTTGCCACGGTACCACCACACCATGGTGTCACCTTGCCACGATGCCACCACACCATGGTGTCACCTTGCCATGGTGCCACCACGCCATGGTGTCACCTTGCCACGGTGCCACCACGCCATGGTGTCACCTTGCCATGGTGCCACCACGCCATGGGGTCACCTTGCCACGGTGCCACCACGCCATGGGGTCACCTTGCCATGATGCCACCACGCCATGGGGTCACCTTGCCATGATGCCACCACGCCATGGTGTCACCTTGCCATGGTGCCACCACGCCATGGTGTCACCTTGCCATAATGCCACCACGCCATGGTACCACCACGCCATGGTGTCACCTTGCCATGGTACCACCACGCCATGGTGTCACCTTGCCACGGTGCCACCACGCCATGGTGTCACCTTGCCACGATGCCACCACGCCATGGTGTCACCTTGCCACGATGCCACCACGCCATGGTGTCACCTTGCCACGATGCCACCACGCCATGGTGTCACCTTGCCACGATGCCACCACGCCATGGTGTCACCTTGCCATAATGCCACCACGCCATGGTGTCACCTTGCCACGATGCCACCACACCATGGGGTCACCTTGCCACGATGCCACCACACCATGGGGTCACCTTGCCATGGTACCACCAAGCCATGGTGTCACCTTGCCATGGTACCACCACGCCATGGTGTCACCTTGCCATGATGCCACCACGCCATGGTGTCACCTTGCCACGATGCCACCACGCCATGGTGTCACCATGGTGCTGCAGTGATACCCCCACACCATCCTCTCATTGTGCCGCGATGCCACCATGCCGTGATGCCGTTGTGTCACCGTACTGTGATGCAACCATGCCATGAGACCACCCCGCCATGATACCGTTAAGCCACGGTGTTGCCACACCATGAGACCACCACCCCTTGGTGCCCCCATGTTGTGATGCCATGATGCTATTGCACCATGATACAGTCGTGCCATGATGCCACCGTGCCATGATACCATTATACCATGATGCCATGGCGTCATGCTGTGATGCCACCACACCATGATACAATCATACCACAATGCCATCATGCCATGATACCACCACACCACGATGCCACCACACCATGATACCACCATGCTGTGATGCCCTGATGCCACCATGCCATGATACAACCATGACACGGTGTCACCACACCATGATGTCACCATGACATGATGCCACCATGCCATGGTATAACCAGGACATGATGTCACCACACCATGATGTCACCGTGCTGTGATTTCACCATGACATGATACAACCATGACATGACACCACCACACCATGATGTCACCATGCTGTGATGCCATGATACAACCATGCCATGATATCACCACACCATGATGTCACCATGCTGTGATGTCACCATGACGTGATACAACCATGCCATGATGTCACCACACCATGATGTCACCACACGATGATGTCACCATGCCATGATGTCACCATGCTGTGATACAACCATGCCATGATACAACCATGCCATGATGTCACCACACCATGATGTCACCACACAATGATGTCACCATGCTCTGATGTCACCATGCCATGATGTCACCATGCTGTGATACAACCATGCCATGATACAACCATGCCATGATGTCACCACACGATGATGTCACCATGCTCTGATGTCACCATGCCATGATACAACCATGCCATGATGTCACCACACCGTGGTGTCACCATGCCATGATATCTCCATGCTGTGATGCCACCATGACGTGATACAACCATGCCATGATGTCACCACACGATGATGTCACCATGCTGTGATGCCACCATGACGTGATACAACCATGCCATGACGTCACCACACCATGATGTCACCACACCATGATGTCACCATGCTGTGATGCCACCATGCCATGATACAACCACACCACGGTGCCCCCCAACGCGCGCCCTTGTCCCCCCGCAGTCTTCGTGACGCTGACCTGCGCCTTCCGCTATGGGCGCGAGGACCTGGACGTGCTGGGGCTGACGTTCCGCAAGGACCTCTTTGTGGCCAACGCTCAGGCCTTCCCCCCCCTGCCCGAGGAGAAGAAGCCCCTGACGCGCCTGCAGGAGCGGCTCATCAAGAAGCTGGGCGAGCACGCGTACCCCTTCACCTTCGAGGTGGGACGGAGGCACCTTAAAGCTCCTCCAGCTCCAGCCCCTGCCCCGGGCAGGGACCCCTTCCATAGAGCAGCTTGCTCCAAGCCCCTGTGTCCAACCTGGACTTGAACACTGCCAGGGATGGGGCAGCCACAGCTTCTCTGGGCACCCTGTGCCAGCACCTCAGCACCCTCACAGGGAAGAGCTTCTGCCTTATCTCCAACCTGAACTTCCCCTGTTTCAGTTTGAACCCATCACCCCTTGTCCTATCACTGCAGTCCCTAATGAAGAGTCCCTCCCCTGCATCCTTGCAGCCCCCTTCACACACTGGAAGCTGCTCTGAGGTCTCCACGCAGCTTCTCTTCTCCAGGCTCAACAGCCCCAATGTTCTCAGCCTGGCTCCATACAGGAGCTGCTCCAGCCCCTGCTCATCCTCATGGCCTCCTCTGGACTTGCTCCAGCAGCTCCATGTCCATGGGATGTTCCCTTGGGTCTCCAGGGCTAAAAGCTGGTTTGGGTTTGAGGGTCCCATCACTGTTTCTAACCCCCTTTCTCCTCCAGATCCCCCCCAACCTGCCCTGCTCCGTCACGCTGCAGCCAGGCCCCGAGGACACGGGGAAGGTAAAGTCCCCCCATCCTTGTCCACGGTGACCAGACACTGGTTGGGGTCACCTCCTATGGGGGTGCAAAGGGGTTTCTCTGCCTCCTCAGCACCCTCCTTGTTCCTAGGCCTGTGGGGTGGACTATGAGGTCAAAGCTTTCTGTGCCGAGAACCTGGAGGAGAAGATCCACAAGAGGTGAGTGGAGAGGATCCATTCAGCCCCACGGCCAAGGGGCTGGGCAGGGCTGTGCCCAGTGGGGAAGGGGCACCACAGATTGGTACCCACAGTGAGTGAGATGGGGATGGGATGGAGGTGAACTCCAGGATGGGGATGGGATGGAGGTGAACTCCAGGATGGGGATGGGATGGAGGTGAACTCCAGGATGGGGTTGGGGTGGAGGTGAACTCCAGGATGGGGATGGGATGGAGGTGAACTCCAGGATGGGGATGGGATGGAGGTGAACTCCAGGATGGGGATGGGATGGAGGTGAACTCCAGGATGGGGATGGGATGGAGGTGAACTCCAGGATGGGGATGGGATGGAGGTGAACTCCAGGATGGGGATGGGATAGGGGTGAACTCCAGGATGGGGATGGGATGGAGGTGAACTCCAGGATGGGGATGGGATGGAGGTGAACTCCAGGATGGGGATGGGATGGAGGTGAACTCCAGGATGGAGATGGGATGGAGGTGAACTCCAGGATGGGGATGGGATGGAGGTGAACTCCAGGATGGGGTTGGGATGGAGGTGAACTCCAGGATGGGGATGGGATGGAGGTGAACTCCAGGATGGGGATGGGATGGAGGTGAACTCCAGGATGGGGATGGGATGGAGGTGAACTCCAGGATGGGGTTGGGATGGAGGTGAACTCCAGGATGGGGATGGGATGGAGGTGAACTCCAGGATGGGGATGGGATGGAGGTGAACTCCAGGATGGGGATGGGATGGAGGTGAACTCCAGGATGGGGATGGGATGGAGGTGAACTCCAGGATGGAGATGGGATGGAGGTGAACTTCAGGATGGAGATGGGATGGAGGTGAACTCCAGGATGGGGATGGGATGGAGGTGAACTCCAGGATGGGGATGGGATGGAGGTGAACTCCAGGATGGGGATGGGATGGAGGTGAACTCCAGGATGGGGATGGGATGGAGGTGAACTCCAGGATGGAGATGGGATGGAGGTGAACTTCAGGATGGAGATGGGATGGAGGTGAACTCCAGGATGGGGAAGGGACAGAAACGTCTGGTGTGCTGGGCCTGGAACTGGGATGATGTTCACCAGGCTGGGCCTGGGATGGAGAGATCTGTGCTGGGTCTGGAGCTGGAATGGAGTCCCTTAGGCTGTGTCTGGAATGGAGATGTCCTCCATGCTGGGGCTGGGACAGAGATGTTTGCTAGGGTAGGGCTGGAGTTGGGATGATGATGCTCTCCAGGGTGAAGCTGGGATGGAGATGCTCTCCGAGACAGAGGTGTTCTTTGGGATGTAGATGGGATAAAGATGCTTCCCAGAGTAGGGATGGAGCAGAGCTGATCTTGGGGCTGGGATGGAGACATCCAGCACTGTGAATGACCCTGCTTGGACTGACCCTGGAGCTGCCCCTCGCAGCATCCTCCTCCTGCCCTAAACAAGGGTCTGACCCAAACCGGGCCCAGCGAGACCCCGTGGGCAGAGGTTCTGCTGTCGCCATCCCATAGGAACTCGGTGCGCTTGGTCATCCGGAAGGTGCAGTACGCGCCGGAGCGCCCCGGCCCCCAGCCCATGGCAGAGACCACGCGGCAGTTCCTCATGTCCGACAAACCCCTGCACCTCGAGGCCTCCCTGGACAAGGAGGTGGGTGAGGGCCTCATGGGGGGACGCTGTGGGGTGGCCCAAGGGGTGATGGAGACCTCCCTGTCCTCCCTTCGCCCCTCCGCAGATCTACTACCATGGAGAGCCCATCAGCGTCAACGTCCACGTCACCAACAACACCAACAAGACGGTGAAGAAGATCAAGATCTCAGGTGAGGAGCGTGGATGTGTCCATCCCCGCTGCTGTCCCCGACCCCAGTTGGGGTCCTCCTTGACCCCCATGGCTCCATCTCTCGCCCCAGTGCGCCAGTACGCGGACATCTGCCTCTTCAACACCGCCCAGTACAAGTGCCCGGTGGCCGTGGAGGACGCGGAGTGAGTACCTGCTGCCTGGGGACAGCATGAGGGACCCCATGGAGCCCTGCAGGAGCCCGGGAGGTCTCCTGCTCCAGTGCAGCACCAGTGGGATGTTGCATTCAGCGAGCAGGTCCTGGTGGGAGGAGCGGGGAGGTGGAAACCCCCTGTTGATGGTGCCTTGGGGATGTCACCAGCTGTGGCCTCCTGGGTGGAGATGGGCTCTGGGATGGGGCAGGGAGAGGTGTTTGGGCTGGGGCTGGGGTTGGGATGGAGGTGGGATGGAGATGTCTTCTAGGATGGGCTTGGGATGGAGATGTCTGGGCTGAATTTGGGGTTGGGATAAGGATATTCGCCCCACCAGGGTGGAGATGTCTGGGATAGGTTGGGATAGAGATGTTCACCAGGCTGGGATGGAGACATCTGGGATAGGTGTTTGGTTGGCATGGAGATGTTCTCAAGGCTGGGATGGAGATGTTTGGGCTGGGTCTGGGATGGAGATGTTCTCTACAATGGACCTGGGATGGAGATGTCTGGGGTTGGGGTGGAGGTGGGATGGAGGTATCTGGGCTGGGTGTTGGGTTGGGATGGAGACATTCACCAGGCTGGGATGGAAAAGTCTGGGATAGGTGGTTGGTTGGGATGGATGTTCACAAGGCTGGGGTGGGGATATCTGAGATGGGTCTGGGATGGAGATGCCTGGGGTTGGGATGGAGATGTCTGGACTGGGTCTTGGGTTGGGATGCAGATGTCGTCTAGGATTGGTTTGGGATGGAGATGTCCTCTAGGATGGGTTTGGGATGGAGATGTCGTCTAGGATGGGTTTGGGATGGAGATGTCCTCTAGGGTGGGTTTGGGATGGAGATGTCCTCTAGGGTGGGTTTGGGATGGAGATGTCCTCTAGGGTGGGTTTGGGATGGAGATGTGCTCTAGGATGGGTTTGGGATGGAGATGTTCTCTAGGATGGGTTTGGGATGGAGATGTCCTCTAGGATGGGTCTGGGCTGGAGATGTCCTCTAGGATGGGTCTGGGCTGGAGATGTCCTCTAGGATGGGTTTGGGATGGAGATGTCCTCTAGGATGGGTTTGGGATGGAGATGTCCTCTAGGATGGGCTTGGGATGGAGATGTCCTCTAGGATGACCTCCAGACTGAACGTATGGCAGGGGTGTTCCCCAGACTGGGATGGGATGTCCAGGGTGGCCCGTGGGGGTTATCGGAGGTGGGGAAGCCTCTGATGGTGTCCATCACCCCCAGTGACATGGTGGCCCCGAGCTCGACGTTCTGCAAGGTCTACACCCTGACCCCATTCCTGGCCAACAACCGGGAGAAGCGGGGCCTGGCGCTGGACGGGAAGCTCAAGCACGAGGACACCAACCTGGCCTCCAGCACCCTGTGAGCCCACCATGACCCCCCCAGGGCTCTGCTCCCACCAGCACTGCTGGGGCAGGACCAGGCCCTGCTCCAGGGGGGGATGCTCGGGGTGCAGGAGACCCTATGGGGGGACCTAGAGGAGGATGCAGGCGTTGGTCCCTATGGACATCCCTTCACTGATACCCACCCGCCCCTTCCTCCAGGTTAAGAGATGGAGCCAACAAGGAGATCCTGGGCATTATTGTCTCCTACAAGGTGAAGGTGAAGCTGGTGGTGTCACGAGGAGGGTGAGTGATGGGGACCCCCCTGAGCTGGTACCCCCAAGGCTCTGGTGGGACTCAGCAGCGTGATGGGGACACACGTGTGGGACATGCTTGGTGGGGTGGTTGCATGTCTGTGGTGGGATGGTGACTAACCTGTTGTCTCCTTGGACCCACACCAGGCTGCTGGGAGACCTCGCCTCCAGGTAATGCCCCAACCCACCCCTGCGCCCCCCATTGCACCCCAAACCCACCCCCTTGGTCCCCTCCACTGCCACCTTCACCGTGGGGTGAAGAGCATCCAAAGGATGCTCTTGGGGCCACCACTCACCCAAAGCCAAGCACCAGAGGTGGGGCTGGTGGTGGGGTGAGGAGTTGTGAGACTTGGGATGGTGATGAGGGTCTCATCCTTCATCCCCCCAGCCCTGGGTCAGAGCAGTGGAGATGGTGTGAGAAGGACCCAGGGGTGAGGAGAGCACCAAGGTGGCTCTCTGGGGCTGATGGGCTGTGGGGAGGAGTCTCCAGGGCTTTCCTGGTCTCCATCCTCACACTGGTCCCATTAACATGGGGTCTATGGGGACCATGGTTCCTGCTGCATTCCCAGGAATGCTGAGGCCACCCAACCCCATCCCTGGAGGAGCTCAGGGCCATGGTCAGCCTCTCCCACCATCACCATGCTAGTGAGCCATTCCAGGAGTCTATGAGCTTTAAGGCCCCTTCCACCCCAACCCATTCCATGAGTTTTAAGGCCCCTTCCAACCCAACCCATTCCATGAGCCCCTTCCACCCCAACCCATTCCAAGAGCTTTAAAGTCCCTTCCACCCCAACCCATTCCATGAGCTTTAAGGCCCCTTCCAACCCAACCCATTCCATGAGCTTTAAGGCCCCTTCCACCCCAACCCATTCCATGAGCTTTAAGGCCCCTTCCAACCCAACCCATTCCATGAGCTTTAAGGTCCCTTCCACCCCAACCCATTCCATGAGCTTTAAGGTCCCTTCCAACCCAAGCCATGCCATGAGCTTTAAGGTCCCTTCCAACCCAAGCCATTCCAAGAGCTTTAAGGTCCCTTCCAACCCAAGCCATTCCATGAGTTTTAAGGCCCCTTCCAACCCAACCCATTCAACCCATTCCATGAGCTTTAAGGTCCCTTCCAACCCAAGCCATGCCATGAGCTTTAATGGTCCCATGGCACCAGAGGTGCACTGATGCTCACAGACACGCAGCCTAATCCCAGAGAATCTGGATCCTCAGCAGCTTCTAAGCTGCTGAACAGCAGATTTGGGGCACCCAATGTCCTCCTTGTGCACAACCACTGTCCCGGGGGGTCTTTGTGCTGATCCCAGCCATGGGGTCAAGCTCAAGCAAGGAGCGTGGTGGCTCTAAAGGAGTTACGCTGAGGGTACTACAGGGTTTCTCCCTGTTGGTGTCTCCAGCAGTGGGGATGGGGGTGATGCTGCTGCTCCCACCCCAGCTCTGCCCCATCTCTTGCAGCGACGTCGCAGTGGAGCTGCCCTTCACCCTGATGCATCCCAAACCCAAGGAGGAACCGGCACATCGGGATGGTGAGTGGGCACCAGCCAGCTCCATGTGTGGGGCGGGACCTCCATGGGATGGGGTGGGAGGGGATGGGATGGGAGGGCATGGAGGGAAAGGGGAACATCCCACTCCCCTATCTGTGTGGATGGAGGTTTCCACCTCCTGTTGAGGAACCTGTGGACCAAGGAGCAGGTCCTTGGGGGTGTCCCCATCACCCTGGTCCTGCCAAACACCACTGGTGGGTCTCGCCCATCCAATGGGACAGTGGTGAAGATCCCGGTGTGTGCATTGACTGATCCTGTGCCATCCCTCTGTTCAGTTCCAGAGAACGAAGCCCCCATAGATACGAACCTGATAGAGCTGGACACAAAGTAAGAGGCACAAAACCCATCGTTTCCCACCCAATGTGGGGTCTGTGTGGGAAGGGGAAGGGTTTGTAAAGGTCTCATGGGACCCCCTAACCCACTAACCCCGCGCCATGGTGACTAACCCCGTGCACGTAACCCACCACGCTTGTTGTGCCCATCTCTCTTCTCTCCTTTGCCATCTCCTTGCATGGCTTCCAAACACCCCAGGAGAAACCACAGTAAGGAAGCACCCGCCGGGTCGTGTGTTGGGATGGGGGGGGATGTCCCTATGGGGTCCATGTGGTGTCCCCATAGTGTTCCTGGGGATGGAGGTGCATGTTCCGGATGCTGGAAATAGATGAGCTTGAAGGCCCCTTCCAACCCAGATCATTTGATGATCTTTAAGGACCTTTCCAACCCAAACTGTTCCATGATTCCGTGATTTTTAAGGCCCCTTCCAACCATTCCATGATTTTGTAATCTTTAGGGACCCTTCCAATCCAACCCATTCGATGATTCCACGATCCCAACCCAATCCATTCTGTGATCTTTAAGGACCCTTCCAACCCATTCCCTGATTCTATGAGCTTTAAGGACCCTTCCAACTCACCCCACTGTATGATCTTTCAGACCCTTCCAATCCATTCCATGATTCTATGACCTTGAAGTACCTTTCCACCCCAACCTATTTGATATGATCTTTAAGGCCCCTTCTAACCCTACCCATTCCATGATTCCATGATCTTTAAGGACCCTTCCAACCCAAACCATTCTATGATCTTTAAGGACCCTTCCAATCCAAACCATTCCATGATTCTATAATCTTTAGGGACCCTTCCAGCCTAAATAATTTTGTGATTCTATGATCTTTAAGACTCTTCCAACCCAAATCAGTCCATGATCTTTAAGGCCCCTTCCAAGCCATTCCATGAGTCTACAGTCTTTAAGGACCCTTCCAACCCAAACCATTGTATGATCTTTAAGACCCTTCCAACCCAACCCATTCCATGGTTCTATGATCTTTAAGACCCTTCCAACCCAACCCATTCCATGGTTCTATGATCTTTAAGGACCCTTCCAACCCATCCATTCTATGATCTTTAAGACCCTTCCAACCCAACCCATTCCATGGTTCTATGATCTTTAAGGACCCTTCCAACCCATCCATTCTATGATCTTTAAGACCCTTCCAACCCAACCCATCCATTCTATGATCGTTAAGACCCTTCCAACCCAACCCATTCCATTGTTCTATGATCTTTAAGACCCTTCCAACCCAACCCATTCCATGGTTCTATGATCTTTAAGACCCTTCCAACCCAACCCATTCCACTGTTCTATGATCATTAAGACCCTTCCAACCCAACCCATTCCATGGTTCTATGATCTTTAAGACCCTTCCAACCCAACCCATTCCATGATCTTTAAGACCCTTCCAACCCAACCCATTCCATGATCTTTAAGTACCCTTCCAACCCAACCCATTCCATTGTTCTATGATCATTAAGACCCTTCCAACCCAACCCATTCCATGGTTCTATGATCTTTAAGGACCCTTCCAACCCATCCATTCTATGATGTTTAATACACCTTCCAACCCAACCCATTCCATGGTTCTATGATTTTTAAGGTCCCTTCCAACCCATTCCATTGTTCTATGATTTTTAAGGCCCATCCCAACCCAACTCATTCCATGGTTCTATGATCTTTAAGACCCTCACAACCCATTCCATGATCTTTAAGACCCTTCCAACCCAACCCATTCCATGGTTCTATGATCTTTGAGACCCTTCCAACCCAACCCATTCCATGATCTTTAAGGCCCTTCCAACCCAACCCATTCCATCGTTCTACGACAACCTTTGAGACACAAGGTTTTTTGCGGAAGGACGAAGGTTTAAGCCCCCCCCCCCCCCCAAGCTGCACCCCCACAGCACAGCACGAACCATCCCAGCCCCCATCTCCCCCCCATGTCCCCCATCACATCCCCTCTCCCTCCTGTCCCCACCAGCGACGACGACATCGTCTTCGAAGACTTCGCCCGCCAGCGACTCAAGGGCATGAAGGACGACAAGGAGGACGAGGAGGAGCGGACGAACTCCCCGCAGCTCAATGACAGATAAGCCCCCCCCACCCCGTGTCCCCACTGCCGCCGGGGGGGCACATCCGGCTGCTTCTCCTTTTGTATGATGATGGAGTTTGGTTTCTACCTGTACCGGAGGCTCCGGCTTCGCCCGCTGGTCACAGCAATTATAACCCTCCAGCTGTGCCACTGGTGTTGTCACTTCATGCAGCTGCCAAAGCCACTGCAGGGCACGGCCGGAGGGGTACTGGAAGCACTGGGGGGGCTGCACCGCTTCCATTGGCACCCCCTTTTCCCCATCCATCCATCCATCCATCCATCCATCCATCCATCCATCCATCCATCCATCCATCCCCATGTCCCCTTTCCTATGAGCTGCCTCTTTTACGTGTTTTCTATCCAAGTCCAGTCTCAACACCAGTTTGTAATGGGGAGGATGGGGTGGGGGGGTCGGGTCTTTTCTAGGCAGCCTGCTCATGGGAAAGGGCACCCACACACTTGGGGTGTCCCCTCCTGGCACCCCCAGCCTGTCCTCTCCTATCTGGCCCTGCTGCATGTGGGATGCACCAGCCTGGCTTTGCCCCATGGAGCCCCTGCCCTTGGCTGAGCCTCCGAAAGGAGGCAGCAGGATGGGTCTTATCCCAAAAGCCTCCTCAAAGAGCCAGCTCCAGGGCAGAGGGGGTTCATCAGATCCAATGGGATTTACACCAGTGCAGCCTCCCTGGAGGGATGGAGCTGGGAGCTGTGGGCTGCCAGGGCAGGGAAGTGCATCCCACATGGATCCATGCCATCGGCCACGCGATGCTCGCACCGGGAGAGGCTGCAAATGCCCCTTCTGAGCCCCAGCAGGGTCTTGGTGTAACCACCTTGTTCCCAGTGGCATTCCACTGGGGATGGTTCCCCCGTTCCCGAGCTGCCAAGCTCCCCTGGTCCATGTTTTCCCCCTGTCTGTGCCTGCACGGGGTCAAGCACCTATTTGGGGATGGGGAGGGAAGGGGCACACAGCATTTGCCACCTTAAGCAGTGTGTCACCGGGTGCTCGTGCCCATCCAGCACCCATCCCACCCCGTGGACCCACACCGGGGTCTTGGGTCTCCCATCGCACCCAAGAGACCATTCCCATTAGTTATTGTGCCGTTGCGGCCAGCGGAGGCATCGGAGAGCGATCCATGGGGATGGCTCCATCCCTCTGGATGGGGGGGGGTGCCTTCCCCCCCCCAGTTTTGGGGTTAAGCTGATGGGCAGCGTGGTACTTCTTTTGTAAGTGGTTCCTTTGTACTGTTCTGGGTGACTGCTCCTCGCCCCCCCCCCGGTCTCTGTGATGTTTCTGTGTCTGTCAAATAAATTATTCTAGTTTATTAAACTCAGAAGGACAAAAGAAAGAGAATAAAGAACCAGTCCCGGCGCCCGGACACGTCTCTTGGCTCGGGACAGGGGAGCTGGAACAGGCCTGGGGGGTCTGAGCACCTGCAACACAGAGGAGGTGATGGGCGCCTCGGCATCCTCCCTAAGAGCTCAGCTCAGTCTCCCCTCGGGCAGGTTAAAGCCATTCCCCTTGGCCTGGCCCTACATCCCTTGTCCCAAGCCCCTCTCCAGCTTCCCTGCAGCCCCTTCAGGCACTGGAGCTGCTCTCAGGTCTCCCCTTTAGGAGCCTTCTCCTCTCCAGGCTGGACCAGCCCAGCTCTCTCAGCATCTTCCCCCTCTGTTCCTCTCCTGAGCTGCAGTTTCTCACTAGGAAATCCATTCACTCCTGCATTAAGGTGTGTGTAAGTCTCCAGCAGCATCCCAGCTCCAGCCTTGGTGTTCCCAGCATCCCTGTGCCTGTCACCTACCTGGATGTCGGTGCTGGGACACCCCTGCCTGGTCCCTGGCACTCAGGATCAACCACAGCTGCCCTTCCAAGCCCCACATCCCATAGGAGACTTTGGCCATCGAGCTTCCTGGCACGTCCTCCTTCCAGACGTGGTGGCCAAGCGGCAGCTGGCTCCTGTCCTCAGCTCACACCGGTGCCCACGTGCGTGTCCGTGCTCCAGGCTGCAGCTGGAGCTGGAGCTACACACATGGATGCTCTGATGCCACAGGGCTCAGCGAGGTGTCTCCTGTGCAGGGGCAGGACAGGAGGTGCCTGCAATGGGGGAGCTCAGCAGCTCCCCGCTCCCTGCAGTTACCATCTGAAATGGGGGGTGAGGAATCATTAACCCAGCCCAGGCTCCCTGCCACGGTGAGGACAGGGCAAGGCATGGGTCCAGCGGGTCCTCAGCACAGCAGGAGCCTGGTCCTGGAAGAGCAGAGCGGATGGACACAGGCACCACATGGGATCCAGCTCCTCCTGCCAAGGACCAGGGTGAGGAGCAGCCTCTGAGCCCTCCCACCCCTCTGCAGCCCCTCAGCACTGCCCTGAATCCAGCCATCCCCCAGCAGATGCAGCCACAAGACCCAAGGAGGGGATGAAGGTTTGGGCATCCCACAGGGCATGATTTGGGATGGCCACACGGTGCCTGGCAAGAACGGTCTGCAGGTGATCAACAAGCAGTGGCCAGTCTGTGCCTGCTGAGGACCATCGGGTTGAGGGTTCAGTTCCTAGAAGCTGTGCCCTATAGGCTGGCACTATGGGATGGATACACCCAGGGGCATTGTGGCCAACAGGTCAAGGGAGCAGCAAAGAGGGGAGATACGAGTGGAAGGTCCCAAAGGCAAAGGAAAACCTAATGCAACCACTGTGTGCAACAGCAGGGGTTGAGGAGAAGCTGATGCTGCAACAGCTCTTGCAGAAGGTGCTGAAGTGGTTTTAAGAGGGGGACTTCTGCTTTGAGGCCTTGTGTTGCTCTTTAAAACCACTGGGATGGGTTTGGGGGGAGAAGATGGGCGCCAGTGATGTGGCTGCCCATCCCTGGCATTGTTCAAGGCCAGGTTGGACACAGGGGCTTGGAGCAAGCTGCTCCAGTGGAAGGGGTTGGGGTTGGAGCTGGAGGAGCTTTAAGGTCCCTTCATCCCAAACCAGGCTGGGATTCCATGAGAAACGCCATCACCAGCATCACGTTAAGAGGAGATCCCTCTGTGCATCATCCCTTTCCACCACAGATGTGAGTGCTTCGGTTTGGCCACCTCCATTCCCTGGCAGATCCAGGTCAAGCCAGACAAGGGTTAAGATCTCTGGTGGGGGGAAAGGGGAAGTTTAGATGGGTACAAACTGCTGTTGCTCAAGTCCTGCTCCTCTGCAAGTCTGCTTCCGCATCCTCTGCACTGCTGGCATCACTGTGACGGGGAGGGTGTCGGGCTCAGCTCTGCTGCTTCTGCTCCTCAGCTCCCCCAGCACGGCCCTGCAAGGGAGACAGGGAGGAAGTCTGGTGGTGGGGAGGGCTGCGGGGGCCAGCCCCGGGTAGGGAGAGGAGCCCTGCAGTCAGCTCCTGTGGGACCCCCCCGTGTGCTGGCTGCACCCCCAGAGCGTGAGCAGCGGCTCAGAGAGGGGATCCTGCCCCTCTGCTGCGGGAAGGGGAGACCTGAGAGCAGCTCCAGTGCCTGAAGGGGCTGCAGGAAAGCTGGAGAGGGGCTTGGGACAAGGGATGTAGGGCCAGGCCAAGGGGAATGGCTTTAACCTGCCCGAGGGGAGACTGAGCTGAGCTCTTAGGCAGAAGCTCTTCCCTGGGAGGGTGCTGAGGCGCTGGCACAGGGTGCCCAGAGAAGCTGTGGCTGCCCCATCCCTGGCAGTGTTCAAGGCCAGGTTGGACACAGGGGCTTGGAGCAAGCTGCTCTATGGAAGGGGTCCCTGCCCGGGGCAGGGGTTGGAGCTGAGGAGCTTTAAGGTCCCTTCATCCCAAACCATTCCATGATTCTATGATTCCCAGGAGTGCCCGAGCTCCAGGATCCCTCCCTGGGCACCCTCCAGCCATCAGCCACGCACCACCCTTGCTGGGACTGCTCCAGGTCCCACTCTCGGCCCAGAACCTCCTGCCCTCACCACTCTGGACATCCCAGTGCAGGGCATGGGCACACGGTGCTCCCATGGACCCGGTACCTGACATGGAGAGCCTGGAAAGCCAGGAGCCCTCTGCAGCCCCTCACTGGGGCTCAAATCCTCCCAGCCCCTGGCAAGACCCCAGTGTGACATGGCCAGAGCTGGACTGGTTCTGCTGGGGACCTCCCAGGGGTGGAGAGGAGGCATTGCTGCACCAGCGCTCAGCTCCTTCGGGCTCAAAGGGGCTTTCTTCTTCCCACTGCTGGTGGTGACAAGGGCTTCAAAGCATCACCCCTCCGGGTTCAGGCAGGCCACAGGCCCCTGTTTCACACTGCCACACAGGCAGGGATAGCTTTGGGATACTTTGGGGATAGTTTTGGGTGTGGAATGGCAAAGCCCACACAGCTGGTGCTGGGAGAAGACCCATGAGAAGCTTCCCTCTGTTATCAGATGGCAGAGAGAGGTTTCCAGCCTCAGCCCCCGCAGGCAAACATGCGTGTCCCTGACCCAGCAGTGAAGGTCAGTACAGCACATTCCCAGCTCCAAGGCTTCCCCAGCACAACCTTCACCCCAAGCCACCCACTGCAGCACCCAGCCCACCCAGGCTCAACTCCCAGAACCCTCTCCACCATCCTGACTGCAGAAACAGGCAGTGGAAGGCATGAGGGGACAGGGAATGCAGGGTGCTGGGAGGCAGGATGCAGCCTGGCACGTACTCTGTGAGCCTTTGCCCTGCAAGATGCAGCTTGGCTGCTCCAGTAGGAGCAAACTGCAGTGCCAGAGCAAGGCAGGGACCTCCTGCCTGTACCCCTCTTCAGCTGCTCCCTGAAACAGGCTGGTTTGCATGGTCAGGATAAGGAGCAGAGTCCCCCCCTCACTAAACAGCACCTTGGTAACAGAGTAGAACCAGTGCCTGGCTTCCTCAAGCCCAGGAATTCCCATTAGCTCCATTGCATTTCAACTTCCAGCTTGGGGGGGGGGAACGCACCAGAACATCCCAGTGCCTTTGCTCAGCCAGGGGCAGGACAAAGCTTGCAGCAGGCTGGGGCAGCAGAGGTTGTTCCTGTTCCTTCTGCAGGCTGTGGCTTCCTGAACAGAGGCCACCCTACTCGTGACACACGCATGTGATGATCAACCAGCACCTATGGGGTGCACAGCCCTCCCCTGGGGGCTGCAGGCGGGGGGACAATGGGTTAAATCTACCACAGAGCAGCTTGTTTCTTCCAACTAC